TGCGTAAAAATATACTGTAGACTCTTATGGTCTGTGAATATCTCGCAGCATCCGCCGTAAAGATAATGACGCCAGATCTTCAGGGCGTGAACGACTGCGGCTAACTCTAAGTCGTGCGTAGGATAGTTCTGCTCATGAGGTTTAAGCTGCCGTGAAGCATACGCAACGACCTATCCGTCCTGCATAAGGACACATCCCAAGCCCTGCCTCGAAGCATCGCTAAAAATAGTGAAACTCCGAGAAGGATCGGGGATAGTCAACACCGGTGCTGAAGTTATTCTCTTCTTGAGCTCCTCGGAAATAATAAAACTGGAATGTACAAGCTTAACTTAAAGCTTATACTTACTGATTGCATGACTTGAGAATCCAGTAATTTAATACTAAATAAAAGACTTGATCTGAACTGAAGGTACATCAATTCACAATTAAGTGAATTGTAGAATACTGCTGACTGAAAATGGACACTTTTCTGAAAGAAAGTGTTCTACTGATAAGACATGATCTTAAAACGAAACTCTGAAATGTGTTGGTCATCCTCTCCTGGCTGCTGGCGTATCTCCAATCGGAATGCTGGTGGTGAAGACTCTCTTCGCAATCTCCCCGCGTACTGAGACTTAGACATGGCATCCTTGAATAGAAAGCGTCGGTTTACCATCATGGCACGATCTGTTGTTGTCGATTGGCTCTTCTCCATCGCGGCGAATGTAAACCTGTGGTACCTGCAACTTTTTACTCCCTCCGAGGTTACACTTAACCTCAAGAAGAAGTCCCTCATGACTTAATATCTCCCACAATTTCTCAGATTCTTCAGAATTTGAGAATCGGGGCGCTGACATACTGAAAATGGTAGATAAGTCTTGTCTTACCGAACAGACTATCCTCGATCTTGTCATGACTGACCTGAATACTCTCATGGCTGAAAAACCATGACTTGACTCTCACATGGCTGAATCATCTATGTTCGAACTCTGAAAACTATCCCGAGACAACTTAAATAGACGCTTCGGGATTGAAAACGTGATATTTACTGACTTACTTGACTTGATAAGGTGCGACTTCAAGTTTCCAGGTAAATCTGGACTAATGGTCTGTATATCAGACCACTACCTTTTACCCGGCTGAACAACTATTATACGTCGACCTTATATCATGAACGTAAACTGTAAATCGTGAACGTGACCCCTGTACTGTATAGGGCTGCTCCAGTATCACTGGTC